ACTATACTATACTATACTATACTATACTATACTATACTATACTATACAATATTTATTCTGACTTGGTCAGGGGGAGACTCAGTGGAAACTGAGGCTTGTGAGCTGTAGATTGAGGTGGTTGTATCCCTTTGAGTACAATATACCTGAGAGTGGCCAACAGGGGCCATGTTATAAGTGTGCTTGTTAAATGTATTTATTTGTGTAACTTTTGTATTCCTTCAGTAGAATGTAAACTCCTTGAGGGCAGGGATGGTTTACTTTTTTCTTTGTGTCTCTAATACCTAGTCTAGTGATTATATGAGTAATATGTGTTTAATCAATATTTACTAAATTGAATAGAATCTAGTCAGCCTCCACTGTTTGGTATTCTCTGTAGACTATTCTCCACAGGCTATTTCGTCCTCCCTTAGATTTCCCCTTTCTAGATTTTCCCCTTTTCTTCTCCCTTCCTCTTCCCCTCCCATTCACTGAGATGGAATTCCACAGCTTTTCCAATCTCCATGACATGTCTCTAAAACGTGCCCATATTCTCCATGTCTCCAGAGGGAAAAAGGCAAGACAGAACTGGGACCCAGAAGGTACAGTTGGAAGAGCACTGAACTTGGCAGTCTTTAATTCTGCCTCTGCTCATCTTGCTGTGTGACCTTGGGCAAGTTAATCTACCTCTCTGCCCCCTAGTTTCCTTATATGTAAAATGAGGGTGTTGGATTAGTTCCAATTCTAATATTCTGTGATTTTATGAAGTCTTTGGGTAAGGGGAAGGGAGAATAAAGGAATGAGGGAAGGAATGATACCAGACACTAAGGTGAGACTGAGAGCAATAAGGGAGAGGAGCAAGGTGTGTAAAAAGGGGTGTGTGTGTGTGTGTGTGTGTGTGTGTGTGTAAACAACTATAACTATGGAGTAGAAGTGAGTGGGGGGCAAAGGAGAACAGAAGTTAGGCAGACAGAAGAGGAATGTCAGAAAAGAGTAAATGTGGACTATTGGGGGAGATGGCTGGAGGACTAGAGGTTGTGGTGGT